CGCCCTCGGCCACGAGAGGACACAAGACCCGTGAGAGGGCCACATCGCCATAGGAGCGTAAGAAGGCAAGGGTACCTTGAGATACAAGGGCACAGGACACAAGGGTACCTTTGAGACACAAGACATAAGGGTACAGGACACAAGGACACAAGGGTACAGTACCAGATCGCGAGGCACAGGACACAAGGGTACCTTAGAGGTGGCAGGGTCGACCTACTAGTCTGGGCCGACTGTGCAGCGTTTGCCGCACAGCTTGCAAAACATAGCTTGGGCCACACAGCTGCACCGCGTGGCCTGCACCACGCAGCTTGCGCCCACCAAGATTACAACGCGCACATGGCGCCGCTGGTCTTAGATCAGGCAGATTGCAGCATACAGCTCTCACCGCGTCCGCGCAGCTTTCACCTACACGGCACATATTGTACCACACAGCTTCTTGCTTCACATAAACAACACAATTTGGCTTGCGCCACGTAGCTTCCACTACATAGCTTAAACACCCAAAGCCCAATACCGCACGGCTTGGGGTCCACATGGTGACAAACACGATCCAAACGCTTCGCTCCTCCTCTGCTTCGCGAGCAGGCTGTAAACAGGTACTTGTTCAAACAACGGAGCTCTCGCCTTTCGCCCGAAAGGCAGCCCCGGTGCTCGTCTTCGAGGGGGGGAGAGGGGCGCTTCCTGTTGTGAAGAGGAATGTTCAGACGGATTCCAGAGGAAGGGACTCGGGGCTGGAGGGTGTATTGCAGCATCGAAAATGCTTCCTGGGATTACTCTAGTTTCCCTCCTTATCAACTTGTTGGTCTCTCTCACCCTCCTCTTCTTCCTCCTCCTCCCTTCGGTCTCTCCTCAACTCCCTCATCCTCCTCCTCCTCCTCCTCTCTGTCCTCCTGCATTCTCTGCCCCTCCTTCTCCTCCCTCCTCCGCGTCCTGCTCCTAGAAATCTACGACTGCGACGTCAAACGCAGCGTCGACCATGACGACCAAGACGCCGCCGGCGATGACGACGCAGACGACGATGCTAAGCTACGACCAACCTGCCTGACTCGAGGTCGCCGTCCGCCTCCTTCTGCGCCCTGTCCTTCCGGGGCGGGTGCGGTTGGGGGGGCAAGTGAAGCACGACGTCCAATCCCGAACTGCTTTCTGAACACCGTGGGCTTGGGACTAACCTCCCAATAACCCCGATCTCTGCGAGGCGCCGGGTCTCTGGGATCCTCCTCTTCCTCCCCTCCCCCCTCCTCCTCCTCCTCCTTTTCCTCCTCCTCCTCCTCCTCCTCCTCCTCTTCCTCCTACTCCTCCTCCTCGTCCTCCTCGTCTTCCTCGTCTTCCTCGTCCTCCACGTCCTCCTCGTCCGCCTCGTCCTCCTCGTCCTCCTCGTCCAACTCGTCCTCCTCATGCTCCTCATCCCCCTCTCCACAGCATCTCCGGTCCCCCTCATCTCCCGCTCCTCTCAATCCCAATGCCTCTCCCGTTTTTCTCCGTCTCCACCTCCACCTCCTCCTCATCCCCCTCTTCTTCTTAGTATGACCATTATTCGTATTAAGATTATTGTTGTTCTTATTCTTCTCCTTAAGATTCGAAGTATTAGTTGTAGTAGTATTCGTATGATACTTATTTGCTTATCTTATTCTAACTCATGATTATAAATATTATCATTATCACTCATTCTATCGTTTCTGAAAAATATCATGAATATAACTATCATCCATGTTATCATTATTTTATTACGGGTATTCGTATACTCTTCTTCGCATTATTATCATTAATCCTCCTCTTCCTTCCTCCTCCTCTTCCTCTCCTCCTCCTCCTCCTCTTCCTCCTCCTCCTCCTCCTCTCCTCCTCCTCCTCCTCCTCCTCTCCTCCTCCTCCTCCTCTTCCTCCTCTCCTCCCCCTCCCGCTCCTCCTCCTCCTCCTCCTCCTCCTCCTCCTCCTCCTCCTCCTCCTCCTCCCTCCTCCTCCTCCTCCTCCTCCTCCTCCTCCTCCTCCTCCTCCTCCCTGCATGGTAGCGTCGGGTAAGGACTGGGATCACCGGAATCGGCGATACATCGTCGACAAATGGGCGGCAGGTCCCCGAGGGCGGAAACGCAAGGTCCTGGGCGGGGCGGGCTATCAGGCCCCCATCGGCGATCAATGGGCGCATGGGGATCAGTGCCCCTCCCCTGAGCCCATGCCCCCCCCACTGAACGTTGCCCCTGACTCTTCTCCTCCACCTCCTGTTCTCCTCCTCCTCCTCCTCCTCCTCCTCCTCCTCCTCCTCCTCCTCCCTCCTCCCCCTCCTCCTCCCACACAGTTTCGTCATAGGAATCGCTGTGGGCGCTTCTGTTTCTCAACCCCCCTGCGCTGGGTTCTCGTTCTGAATGGCACTGCGGGCACGTGTATGTGTTCCCGCCTCCCGCCTCCCGCCTTCCTCCTCCTCTACCTCCCTCCTGCCTCTAGCCTCCTCCTCCTCCTCTCCTGTCCTGCCTGCCAATCTGCCTGTCCTGCCGTGCCTGCCAGCCCACGTACTCTCTCGCCGACCTGCGCGATCTCGCCGTCGCTGCGAGGCTGCGAATCTGCGAAATTGTCGCCACTCTCGAATGCAGCTGGGGGGTGCAGCAAAATGCCGTCCTACACAGATTCAGATTCGACCTCGCCATCCCTGGAAGGCTGCGATTTGCAAAACTGTCGTCACGCTGAGCTGTGCCCCACGCGGACCAACATGAGATCTCGCCATCCATGGCGGGTTTGTAATTTGCGAAACTGTCGCCACTTTCGAGGGCACTTGGGGGTACAGCGTAGCGTCTCATGCGGACCGAAGGCGGCAATAACACCCCCGAACGTGTCGAAACGTGTTATTGAAAACGGTTAAAAAAAAACGAACAAATGGGCCACCAGCCGATCCCCGACCTGAGAACAGCGCTCAAAAAACGGCGCTCCAAAAACGTTGATCTGAAACAGGGGGTAAACGCATCAAGTTCTTTTGCTAACATCTACACTCCCACCCCATCCTACTGCTTCGCACGCGCTGACGATACCAAGGCGACGCCACCCCCTCCTCCATTGTTCCTGGTAAAATCAGAAGACACTGTCGGCGTGTGTGGGACGTTATTCTGTTTGAGTCGTCGTCGCCACCGCAGCCGCCCCCCCCTTCCCTCGTCCCTCCCAAGCAATCGATCCAGCCAGGCAGAAATTCATCAACGTCGTACTTGATTCGAAGGGGAGCCCCTTCCCTTTGATCCCTTCCCTGGGGGCCTGGGGGGGGCATGTAGCAGGGGGGGTCCTGGGAGCGTTAGAGGGGGGGGCGGTCATGTGATCTGTGACCTCCCCACCGGAGGGTTCCCCCCGCGGACAAGGGGGACAAGGGGTGGTCCCCTGATGGACAGGGGCACCACCACCCCCCTCTCATCCAGGGCCGCCCCCCCTTGGAGGCACCCTCCTCACTCTTACCTGCTGTTGCGAGGTGCTGCGTGCTTTCATACATGTCTCCAAGAGGCCTCAGAACTGCTCCGAAGCGGCTCCAACTGGCCACGAAGTTTCCTAAGAAGCTCCAAAGAGGCCTCCCAACATAGCCCAATCGGCTCCCAAGCGAGCCCCCAGAGGGGCTCCAGCGCGTCAGTTTCGTCGTACGTCGTCGTCGTCGCCGCTGTTGTCGTCGCCGTCGTCCCCCTACAAAAAGCGCGGCACTGGCCGCAAAACCTTCTCAATCACTTCTCCGTGTCGCACCGACAGACGTGTCCGTCGAGCGGGCCGGGCGTTTCGTCCGAGACTTCATGTGGCTCTCGCCTGAGAGCGGCGCGTATTTGTCTTTAAACCGTGCGACAGGTTCATGGATGGAGAGTGTGGGGCCGCTTTAGCGCCGCGCGCTTTCGTCTTAAGCATGTGCAGCTATTTCGAGGGTGGATGGCGGTTGGTTTTCTTTAGTGCGGGTGACACCTTAGCGCCGCGCGCACTTGCCTTACCAGTTTCCAGCAGCTTCTCGGATGGAGAGCGGGTGGTTTTCAAACTGTTGCTCTCGTTTTCAAAGTGTGCCTTTCGCTAAAGCGCCGCGCAAGTTCGTCCTATCAGCTTACAACAATATCACGGATGGCGGGCGGTTGGTTTCAAACACATGGATTACACTTTAGCGCCACGCGCACTTGTCTTAACAGCTTCCAGCAGCTTCTCGGATGGAGGTCGAGTGGTTTTCAAACTGTTGCCCTCGTTTTTTAAGTGTGCCTCTCGCCAATGCGCCCGCAAGTTCGTTCTAACAGTTTACAGCAATTTCACGGATGGAGAGCGGTTGGTTTTGAAAATGTGGCTCTCACGCTCGCGCCGCTTACGACAGCTTCTGGGACTCGCATGGCTGAAGTCCCAGGAACGGCGTTCTGGCACGATTGAGAACTGTCATGGTGCAACAGTCACGTGAGTTCGCGGTAATGAGCCCCAAGAAATGCTGCTCTTGAGCGATTTGCGACTACCAGGGCGCAACGATTCGCTGAACTGAAGCCGCAGGATCCGTTATTTGGCACGATTGGACAATTTCATCAGAAGACTGTCCAATGGGGCATTTCCCGCAGAACACACGTTTGTAGGGACCCGTGATAAGGAAGCTTAGAAGAAAGGTTCCCTGCAACATCGTTGATTCGTCTTGGGCTGACACCCTGGTCCAACTCCACCACCTCCTCGCGCCCCTTCCTATCCCCCTTCCCCCCCTTCCGACCCTCCTCCCGTCCATGTCACCCCCTCCCCAATCCCCCGTCCCTCCACCCTGCCTCCCCCGTTCCACGTCCCCCACCCGTCCCCCGTTCCGTCACCTGCCCCCCGTCCACCCCTCCCCCGTCCCCCGTCCCTCCCCACCCACCCTCCTCACCCGTCCCTCCCCCGTCCACTCCCTCCACACCCTCCCTCTCCCGTGCCGTTCCTCCTGCTCTCGTGTTTCCCGACCGCCCCCCCCCCCCTCGCCCGCCCCCCGCCCGGCGTCGAGGGCGCCCGCGTCCTCGATGTGGCCGCGGACCTCCTCCAGGAGCGTCACGAGCGCCGTC